GAAGTATAGAGACTAGCAATGAAATTTGTCCTATAAATTTTATTTTATAAATCTAATACTCTACTATTTTAAAGGAGCACTTACCAATCAGTCTTATACATTAGACTTATTTATCTACGGGTCTTAATTGATGAATTTATCATTATAAATTTATTCGTAAAAATTTAAAAAAAAATTAATAAATTTATCAATAAAATTTAATGGATAATAAATCCTAAAAATAAAACCTATTGATAATTTATCCCTCTTGTTTTTTACACAGAATATGAATTATGATGTAACTGTTGAGCACTTACCAATCAGTCTTATACATTAGACTTATTTATCTACAGGTCTTAATTGATAAATTTATCATTATAAATTTATTCGTAAAAATTTAAAAAAAATTAATAAATTTATCAATAAAATTTAATGAATAATAAATCCTAAAAATAAAACCTATTGATAATTTATCCCTCTTGTTTTTTACACAGAATATGAATTATGATGTAACTGTTTACTGTTCATTAAACTCTTCTGACTAGTACTATAAAATAAGGTCACTCACCCCATACCTTCATAGTCACCATTCTAAAACTCCTCTCTCTCTCTCTCTCTCTCTCTCTCTCTCTCTCTCTCACACACACACACACATCACAGGCACACACAGTGGGTACATAATTTTGATTGGTTGTTGTTTGGGGTTTTCACACATTGATGATATTAATTAATATTATAATCGCAAAAATGTACATATTGTCTCCATGCTCCCCCTTATCAACAGCATCACCCTCTTACACAATGAATGGTTGCTATGATATGGGGAAAGCCACTCAAATTTCCTTCACTGCCAAAGTTCTTCCATCACTTCAACTAGATAATCCTCTATCCTTATGGCCATACCTGCTGAATGAAGTTAGTTTCATTTGGGAATTGACTTTTAATAATTTTGTGACATTTATAAAAAGATATATATATATATATATATATAAAAAATGAGTTGGCATGGTGGGGGCAAATGCACCACCGAAAGTAACTATATATACAATATTATATATACATACATGCCGTAAAAGATGTGATGCAGATGTAACTAGAAGAATTTCGTCCAAAAAAAAAAAAATTGGTGTAAAATTTCTAATTGCATAATAATTACTAGATTAATTAATTATTTTTAATAATGTCAATAAAATATTTTAATTAACTATTCTAGTATTTCATTATTGTATGAAAGGATAATTAGGATTTTTATTTTTTTGTGCAACTCTGTTAAATGACAAATTCGAACAAAAGGGTATTTGTAATTTCTAAAATTACAAGGATAATTTTTATTTTAAACAAATCTCAATGGAGTGTATTTATAATTTATCCAAAAATTTATAAGATTGTGTTTCAATTTTGAATTTATAATGAGATTTTTGGATGTTAAAAAAAAAAAAAGAACGAGCAAGGTAGAAGCAAAATTTTTTTTAACCAGAGAGATTTATTAAGAAATCATTTTTCAAGTACTTGTATCCCAATCAATCCATGACATATTCTTCTATTCCAATAAGTCTTATTATTTGGACATTTGATCCATCAAATCGTAATTATCATATTTAAAATATTTTATAGACAATTTTATATGTACAAATATTTTTTAAACAGTTAGCAACTTGGTGATGTGAACATTCATATTTTACAATGTAAATATTTACATTGACAGTGTGAACATCCACATAGACAATGTGAATGTTCACATCATGGAACATTCATACTGTCAATATAAATATTATTATTAAGGGTATTTTGGTATCTATATCACCCATAAAACTTATTAAAATATAATAAAATAATTTGAATTAAGTGAAACATAAGTAGGTAAAGAGAAATTTATGAATAAGTGGCCCTTTTAATTATTTTAATTCATGATATATATATATATATAGAGTGTAAAGATATCCAAAAAAAGAACAATAGTGCTTGGATGATAATATTTTGTTTACCATGTTAACCAAATTATATAAAATAAAGTAAAATAAACAAATTCGAATTATATATTTTTGAAATCAAAATACAGAAACTAAAAGATTTTAAAAAATCTGGAAAAAAAAAAAGTAAAAGGATAGCAGACCTAGGCATATGTATCACACAATGTGCGGCTGATATGCCACTACAGAAGCACCTTATTGTAGGTGCTAGGGTTGGTAGGGGACCGACCCGGCTCAGGCTCAAGAACGGTTTGAGCGGGCGGCAACGACTTGCACTTGTGGCAATTTTTCTAAGTCCATCATCCACACATCCATAACGCCCTTTTTCTTAAAAATGTAGATGCCCCGAGAGGATCGGGGATCTGAGGATCCTCCTGTGTCTGTTGTACTTTTGTGTGAAGTGTCGTTTTCAAATCTCTTTTGATAATTTGAACTGTTCATATTGTAGAGTTCGTCAAGTAGATCATCCATGTAAAAAATCAAGTTGATTGGATATCTACGGCTCTATGACTAAAGCACATTTGTTTTTATAAAAATTAACAGTTAACATAATTTTTATAAATTTTTAAAAACAATTAAAACTTAATCATGGGATTATGAATATTCGATTAATTTGATTTTTTACATTAATAATATTCTTGACAAACCCTACAATATGGACGGTTCAAATTATTAAAAAATATTTGAGACGAACTCTCATAAAGAGACACAACAGGCTATTGTATCTTGAAGGCATAGCAACACCCCGAGTCCGCCCAAAGGACTCACACCCTTTAACAAAAGCCAGAGATATAAATACCTACTAATGTTTCACTCTTTTTGGGTGAATATTAATGTTTCACTCTCTAATCAATGTGGGATAAATGGTTTTTCATCTTCCCAAAACCACTTTCATGAAATTTATGATACTCACTTTATGAAAATAATTTTTCATTCAAATCTTAATAATTTTTTTTTACATTCTTTTTATGATGTAAACTTCTCACTACGGAGAAATTAAACCTAGTTGGACTCACATTAACCAGTGGTTAGATTCTACTTTAATTTCGCAATAAAGTTGTAAAAAAATTATTATTTTTTAACGTATCATCTTATGTGTCAATATTGCATTAGTATAAGGGTTAAATTTCAAATTTTCACTACATTTTTGTATAGTTCTATACACTTCTATATATTTCAATACATTTCTAAATTTTAACACACATTTTACACATTTTTCAACCTTAACCAACGCTCATTTGACAAGTTTTAGCAATTCCCCCAACATAATAAGTCTCACCACTCATGTCTATTTTCAATACAGTATTAACATATAAAATAATAAACAAAATTTCATAAGAAAATATGATCACGAGTAAGAGTATCTCTAATAGCAAGCTATTGGAGTTGTCATTGCCAAAATTTAGCAGGAGTCTCCAAAAACCTTGCTCCATTGGGTTGCTATAACCCTTGTCAAATTTGACAATTGCCATTTCCTCTATCAAATTTAGCAGCAAGTTTGGCAATTACTAAACTTGTCACATCATCTAAATAAACATAATTGGGTTCCAAAATTTCCATGGAACAAACAAACACAGTGAGAAAAATTCAATAACAATACAATAATAATAAATTATTGTTTTCCAGATTTTTGGAGATGGAGATAGAGGCAAAACCCCCCAAACAGAAAATATATATATATAATTAAAAAACAACAACAACAACAATCACTACAAAGACAATAATCAAATAAATTCAGAGAAATTTTGAGCAATTTCTCACAAATTTTAAGCAATCTCAAACAAAGCAAAAGGAATTTCCACTAATTTCAAGCAATTTAAGAAATGTAATTTCACAAAAATAAATACTTGGAAAAGGGTTTGAAATTTCTTCATCTTCTTCACTCAATTTGGTCCTCTTCATCTTGTTTAGATTGTGATTTTTTTAAACTTCTAAGATGAAAGAAATAAACCCAAATGATGAAGATTCATAAAAGTAAATATTTAATTTTTAATTTATATTTATATTTATATTTATATTTATATATTTTTTTAATTTTTTATGTTTGTCTAGCCGAGTAGAATGTAAATATTTAATTTTTTTTAGAAAAAATTTTAAAAAGGTCATAAATGACCCCAAAAAAATAAAATAAACAATAAAAAAATTACTAAAAAACTTATATCTAAACAACACCTACAAAATTAGAGAAAAATTTTGTTAAAATTTGCCAAAATGGCAAGTGAGCATTGGCGTACCATTGCTATAATTTGACAATTTGTTACTATTCATTGTCAAATTATAGCAATGACAATACTATTATAATATTTGCCATTGGAGATGTTCTAAGAACTCATTTGGTCATGCCCATGGAGATAATGAAGAAACCAAGCTCTTACAGCTGCATTTGGAGAAATCTGATTCAGATACCAAAAACAGATTTATGCAATGATAGCTTGTGCAAAAGAAGCAAAACTTGCGTATAGGAATGCAAATTATCCCCACTCAACAGGTCCATGACCCCCAACTCCCATAAAATGGGTTTAGAGGTTTTCAATAGGGTAGAATTGTATTGAGAGAGAATAAAATATCCAATAGGGTTCGGGTCAAGTATGAGGAAGGATAACCCCGCCCCAACCCTGACCTGTATATTATTAAAATCGCATTTTTAACATATTTTTACTATTTTTTAATGATATAAAATTATTTTAAGATCTTTTCCACTTCTATTTTATGTTTTCTTGATATCACACTTTTTCTCTTTCCGTTTATTCTACAATTTCACTAGGATCAATATCAAACAACACCAATTGTTACAAGTCATTTATCCAAAATTATAAAATCATATTATTAAAATTCAATACTAAAAATATACGTTGCAAAGTTGAAATTAGGTAGGTAAGGCTGGGAGGCGTAGGATTATACTAAGCAGGGTGTGGGAGAGGTCTAGCGGGTAGGGTCGGTATGAGAATAGTGTTCACAAAATGGGGGTGGGGTTGGGGGTGGGAAAAGAGTCCCACAAACCCATACCTGCCCCCATTGCTATCCCTATACATGCCTAGATTTAAGCATTACTGTGAAACAAGCATGTGTTGAAACCATTGATACTCTTACATTGTGATGACAGCTGATCATCTTACAATGTTGCTACAGTACATAGACTTACAATGTAACTGCCACCGTGGCATCGGTGTCTCTCTTCTGTCCATACATACTAGATTGGAGAAATTTTTTTTGAGCACAGATTGGAGAAATTTACGACAACATTAATCCCCAATGTGGGTTATTGAGGAAATTGCCAAAATCCATTATTAATATATAGTAATCCAACATGTTCGTCTTATATAACATCTCAAAAACTTGCCTCTTCGGTTGTCGGTCGTCTCAAGAAATATTGCAAACTATTTGTAAGAACCTGCAAAAATTGGTAAGAGGTTATATGTTGCAGCTTGTAAATACAAAGACTATAGTAACATGGCAAACTGTGGTTTTGGCCAAGTAAGCGAGCTCATGTTGAGTCCTAATCACAAATCAAATATTTATATCAATCTATAAAAACTATGAACTTGACTTTGGAAATCAAAATTTTTCTATCAGATGTGAATTGTTTCGATACGTAGAACAGAATCAGGCATGTGGGTATGCCCCATTCTCTAAAATGTGGTACATGGGGATAAACTTGTTTAAATTACACTATTAGAATTTAAAATACTTTTAGAGCAATTTTCTTTCACATATTAAACATCTAATAAAATGTTACTTTTCTTGTTACAACACATTTGTATGGTTGAATTTTGTAATAAGGCAATAAAATTGAATATGGAGTGATAATGAAGACGGAAAAGAGAAAAGAAATAACACAAAAGATTAATGTGGTTCAGCCAATCTTGTCCTTCGTCCACACACACAAAGCTCTATGGACTATACATCTTTCATTCACTCAACTTGATTTTCTTGCTTACATGATATACCATATATATAGAGTGGGAGATACAATCAAATCCCTTCAATTACAGGATTGAAATAAATCAAAGATATAAAAAAAACATGATAAGTACAAATTATGGGATCTACATATATTTTGATATCTTCTATATATTCTGATATCTTTAACAATATAATCTTCTCATCAACATGTATAAGCATTATACCTACTTTTTTATGTTTCTCCATACCAGAACTCCACTCGTTAGATTTTAATTTATTGTACTTGATTTTTTTTCCTCCTAATGTATCTATTAAGTTTTATATTGGAAAATATTTTTGAGATTACTTTGAATTGCTAAATTTACCATTTCGGAACAAAAGTTTACCATGTTTCGGAATGTACGTTCCAAAATGTAAATTACTAATGTATTGTGATTTTTTGCTAACGTTGAGCTAGATGGACCTAGGTCCATTAAAAGTGTTCACAAAGGCAATTATCAAACTATAAAAACAAATATAGATCTTCAGCGTAGGAAACGGACAATCTATACTTCTGGACATTGGGACCTGATCAAGAAGATGGAGAGGAAGATCAAAAGTGTTAAAATTGATGTATTATTGATTGATGTATGTTATATTAATTACAAATGGTGAGGGGCTCCTTATATAGGAGATGTAGTGGAGTAGGTGGTAGTAGGTGGTAGTGGTAGGTGCGTAATAGGTGGTGGTAGGTGTAGTAGGTGGAGTAGGTGATGGTAGGTTTTAACAAAAAGGCTAAAAACAAGAAATGCCAAAAAGCAAATCTAGACTAGTTCCTTTGTAAGACAATCATAATGTTCTGTCATATCCTGATTTACCTGTTGAAGGGGCTTGGTGACGGCTTTACCCCGGTAGCTGACATGAAGCTTTGCCTTAGCCAATAACCCCTTGGATACCCAAATCAAAATGCAAGTGAAAATATTAAACCATGCTCCGGTGACATCACTACTAGTATTACTACAACAATCTGGAGAATACAGACAGCCACCGAGTTGGTTATTACCTCAGTGTCAAATTCTCCCGATTCAACAGCAACATTTATGTCAGTGGTAATCTTTACAAGATCCACCAGTAATCCAGGGCGGTCTGCCGTTTCCACACACAGCAAGCTGCAAGGTAACATACTAACACTGATGAACTGGAAGGCAGTTTTAAAGACTTCAGCCTTGGTAGTTATTTTATTTGGTGGGGCACTAGTAAATTGGTGAACAGATCCCATCATATTGAGGGGAAAGGGAAATGGGGAGAAGTAAACATGCATTACCTTCGATCGGGGCCATCATTATAAATATTGATGTGGGTTGCTACGTCCACATCCACCTGAGAAATTCCACCACAAAAATAAACAAAAAGAAAAAGGAAAGAAAAAAGAAAATATGTAATACTACAAAAAAAAAAAATGGTTGCGAGGCCACACATGTTGAAATGATTAAATATTTGCATCATGATAATATTGTAAGAAATACTGCAGCTGAATAAAAACCATGAGAACTTTATCCATAAGGCTAGCCTCTTGAACTCATTTGGGTTCATTGGTGTAACTCATACATCCGATGACACAACACATGGCAACAAAGGTTAGAATTGGGGTTGGAGTTGTAACTATCTGCCCCCAAATCACCACATCCCTATGAGCGGCCTACTCAATCACAATCACCACAATCAATTCATGGTCAGTCTTGCTGAACAATAATCCCACGCTGCCGCTCCTTGGACCCACACAACATGTGTCAAGAGAGCTTTAATACCATATGTAACAATTACGGAATCTACCCAAAAGGGCTAGCCAAAAAGATATCATTTGGGTTTGTTTAATACTCCTCTTTATATATCCAAGACTCTCGATGTAGACTTTTTACATGGGACTCATGATGGAAAATGGCAGCAGCCAATTAAAGTCTATAAAAGGCGTGGATCCAACGGTTCTAAGGCCCAAGCCTTAATTTGGCATATGCTAGATGATGTGGGGCCTACTTGGGAGATTAACTAGATTTGGGATTTATTTAAAAGTGTCTTTTGAGTTTCTCAAGTCAAATGTCTTTAAATTTCTAGTCAAGGTCTTTGGGTTATTTAGTTGGTCAAAGAGTCTTCTAGAGTCTTTCACATGATTAATGCATTAAAGAGTCCTAGGGAGTCTAAGTTAGTCATGTCATTTAATTTGGAAAGTTTTAGAATCAAGATGAAGTGAGTATAAATTATATTGTAAGTCTTGTGGCAATTTATGAATGGAATGAATGAAAATTAAGCTTATGCTTCTATGATTGTGCTGATGCAATCTTTCTTTAGTGTGATGCTAAAGAGCCCATTGGTGTGATGCCTTGGGTTTTCTAGGTGTGATATCTAGATCTATCCTTCTTTAACCCTTCCTCTACTTCCTACAAATCACTGTTCACGTCTACTGTTCATATTTACTGTTCACAACCCCCAAAACAGCCCTGTTATTTATGTTTTTGCTCATACTCAGGCCTATTTCGAATCTGTCCTGCATCAA